TCCACGGTGTATATATATATATATATATATATATATATATATATATATATATAGGTTTATTCTCTTTTTGTCACGTGTCATCCTATTAAACCTCCTAATTAATGTTATGCCACTTGTGAGCCTATTGATTCTTCATTTCAAATTTCTCACTCTAATTACAATAAATTAATAAAATTCAAATCAAAATTAAAATAAAATTAATACAAATTATAAGGTCACGTATTTATTTAAATCAAAGATTATAAATTTAGATAACTAAAAATATCTCTTAATTAACAATTTATTTAAAATATAATAATTTTGAGTTTTTACTATAAAAGTGTAATTAATTTTGTAGCCGTGGAACCACGGGTTATAAACTAGTATATATATATGTGACATCCCCAAAATCACGGCCAGAAAAGACCGGTTTCATTTATGCTTTTAAAATAATTTCAGAGTAAATTCATTGATTTAAAAGGGTTGCGGAGTTTGTCCCCAAAACAATACATGATAAAATAACGTTTATCAAAGCATTTCTTAAAGAAATGTATTTTCATTATATATCAAAACTCGGGATGTCATGTTTCGATACAGACACAAAAGCATAAACAATAAAACATAGACCTTACACAGTTTATAAAACTACTGGTCTATAAACAAAAACATCTTCACAAGTTCTCCAACTTATGCTCTCGCGCCACTACCTGTGATACAAAGAAACTGAGTGGGTCAGGCTTGGGAGCCTGGTGAGCATATAGGGTTTTCATCCCACAATAAATAATTATATTTAATTTCACTAACCAACAATAACCCGATTACCCATTCCCGTTATCCTCACTTTACGTCCCTATGACAACAACTATTACAAGGGACCTAGTCTAGGATTTTTCATCGGGGCGGACACTACTGCAAAGGGGTTTCCTCAACAATGAATGTCCTAAGGCAACCATGAGGGGGATAGAATACAACAAATGAACACCCAAGTTCACCAACACCTACAGGTTATGAGTCTGCCAGCATTCCACAGAACTGTCTAGAAAAATCCGTGGTCGTCATTCATATTCTGCTGAATGACTAGATCACAATCAAATCGAGGCCTCTCGTTATTTATATTTCATCACACATCACTATCTACCCATGTTCTACCCAACATATATGTAGATAAAATAAAAATATATATACAACATAAAACATGTATAAAACATTCAACCGATACTCATTTCAAATAACACGTAACATATAAACACATAGCACGTATTTTATGGAAATACTTCGTATTTATGTGTTAGAAGAAGTAACTACACACTCACTTGATCAGAAGATGATCGGGCAACACTATGGCTCCAAGAGTAGTATTTCTTCGGTGAAACCGGGAGATCTTCACAAAAACCGGGCTTCTCGCGAGCAGAGTTTCGGCTCGGAAACTTTACTTCTCGGGATCTTCGGGGCTTCGGGTCTCGGGATGATACCGGGGCTTCGGGGGTGTAAGTTGCACGCAAAACGAGGCAATAAGGAGTGAGAGAGAAAAAATGAGCAACAAATCTCGACTGGGGGTCGAGTTCTATTTATAGGGTTGAACCCTCGCGTTACGTTGGGCGTAACTCGCAAGTATGCGGGGTGTAATGCCTCTTTCTTGCGTACGCTGGGCGTAGTTTGGATAAGACTGCTACGTGGCGAGCTTCGGGTGGTGCTACACGGCTCTCTCTCGGACCACACAAGGCCGAAGTACGCTGGGCGTACTCAAAGGTTACGCGGGGCGTACCCTTCGGATCAGATGGGTGAGTCAGCTCTTCGGATATTATCCGAATAAATAATAAAATTTATATATTTTAATTATTTAAAAACTTCAGAAAATCATATATTCCTCATACGAGCTCCGTTTTCGACGTTCTTTATATCCACGCGTAGGTGAGACTAAGCTCTACAACTTTCATTTAGACTCTGTCGGATAATTTTGACTTTATTTTTATTATATTATTTTTAGTAGGCCGGGACAGGAAAACTCCGTTATAAAATCATAACTTCTTCATCCGATGTCCGCTTCCGTCTGTCTTTTTACCGTTGCACTACAATTAATGAGATCTTCGATTCTCGTTTAGATTGTTTCAACCAAAAATCACTCGATCTCAAATTCGAGTTTCGGGCTGCATACTGCTAAGTTGGAACTTAGAAAAAATCATAACTTCCTCACACTAAGTCAGATTTGGGCGTTCTTTTTATGCACGCTCTAGGTTTAACGAACTCTACGACTTTTGTTTAGATCACTAAGGCTAAATATCGCTTTATCGTAAATTCACTATTTACGTCACGCAGTGTCGCGCCGGTTCTGTCGCGAAACTTCGACAGGTCATAACTTATTCGTTATAACTCGGATTTTGACATTCTTTATATTTTCGGAAACCTTGCCACGACCACTACGTCTTCATTTATCGATATCGGTTTTATCTAACATTTTATTTTTACGCTTATTTTTATTCTTAATTCATTTAAGCCACACAATTAAGCATAAAACACATAATACTCAAATAATACATTCTTATTATTTCAAAATGAGTTACAAAGGTTAACCTAGACTATTACATCAACATTAATGCATAGCCCAGAAACACGGGCGTTACAATATATATATATATATATATATATATATATATATATATATATATATATATATATATAGGGAAGGGTTATTTGGAAAACAAAAAAACCCTAAAAATAATAAAAATGCATTAAAAAAATACCTAGAGATCACAAAACTTTTTTTTGACATTTTTTATAAAAAAATCGAAGGTTTTTAAAGAAATTCGCTGAAAAAAATTTTGAAATTTTTTTTTTTTATAAAAAAAAAAAAAAAAAAAAAAACTGATTTTTTTTTCAGCGAATTTTAATAAAAAGCTGCGATTTTTTATAAAAAAAATTCAAAAATTAGTTTTGTGATCTATAAGTAAATTTTTTATGCATTGTTATGATTTTTAGGGTTTTTTTTAGAATTTTTTGTTTTCCATAGAACCTAAACCATATATATATATATATATATATATATATATATATATATATATATATATATATATATATATATATATATATATATATATATATATATATATAGTTTAGACAAAGAAACTAACATGTGTTTGGTGTGGACCATGGGATTTGTCTATAATTTGAGGAGTTTTGGTGGTTATCGCTATAATTGATTAAAGCAAATGGACATAAAGCCTTAAGAAAGAAGAGACGGGACCAATAGTTATTTCCACATTATATATGCATATATTTAAATATGTAAGGTGTAGAGTTAAGGTTGACGAGTTTCTTTATTACCATGAGGACATTGTACTTTTAGCTTTCTTATGTTTTTCATGGAACTTGGTGTGATTTATCTTTTTTACAAGCACGTTTTGTGTGAAACTCTTACAAAACACACTTGACTTTGCGGTAGCAACAATTTCTATAAACAAATTAACCTCAAAGAAAGGAAAACTTGTAAGGTCGTGAAAAGTGAGATGCTCTTTTTTTTTAATGTATTTAAAAGTTCCCTTTCGGTGAATTGTTGATGAAAGTGAAATACTTGATTGACACAAGGGGAAGGGGACCATGCTCATAGATGAAGGGAAAAAAAAAAGATCAATAATCATAACTTAGGCTTCACTCATAATTATAATTGGTAATAAAGTAACCATTATACATTTGATTAATTACAAACTGAAGTACCATTCGTAACCCACTTTTGATGGTGATTGTTGGGGTGTCACTCATGACCTATATATGGTAATGGTACTCGACTACTTGTTATGTCCACGCCTATTCAACTCAACTGGAGTTTGGTGCATTTGATTGCAATGGTAATGTGGTCACAAATTGGCTAATTCGTTAATATAAACAGATTGGATAGATTTGTAATTGTTTTATTGTTTTTTTTTTTAATTATATAAGTGTTATCATAAAAGTAACCTAACGTTTTCATTAATTTGGTTTCATGCATTTACATTAGGAGTGACGTTTGGCTTATTTGACACACTTCATTTTTAGTTTCTTCTTTTAAAGTTTTATCGGTTTCGGATAAAATATAACCCACCCGTGGATTATGCACATACAGACCAAACTCAATTGTCCAAAATCATATAAACTTAATTTCATTCGCTTTCTTTGTTGGCAAAGAAAAAACATGACATGATTGTTCTACTACGTTTTGTATAAAATAAAGTTCAGACTCAGTTAAAGGTTCATAAATTACAATTTTATTCCCACCAAGAAGAACATAGCACACCGGATAGCTAGAAGTTTGAAAATGTGGTTTTTATTTATACAAACATGTTCATCAAAAATAGTTGTAAGCTTTTGGAATTTTGGAAAGTATAAAATGCTATAAAACATGAAAACATGAAAACTAAAAAGTTAAAACTCTTAAAGATCTAAGAAGCTATGTCGAATGAAGCTCTTTAATTTGAGCTTTTTTTTAATGCTAAAAGCTAATAGCTGTTGTTGAGTATACCCTAGGGCTAAGACTAAAAATGTGTTCTTGACCCTCATCATGACCAGAAATGTTGTTATTGTATTTAGTTTTATTTAAAATGTATAATTTGTATAATTCTACAATAAAGTATCTAGATATTACTTATCTGTTTCATTTGGAATTTTAAAAACGGTAATAAGAAAACAATAAAAATGACAATCCCCGCAAAATTTGTAACTCAAAGATAATATGGTAACTTTAACGATCAATTAACAAACACAAGCTTGGTGTGTTTGCAAATTCACTTTCAAATTTTATAAGAAAAGTAAATGATTATAAAATATTCAGTTTGATCACCCAACTAATTCCAATGGAAATTGCTAAATTTCTCAAACTAACACCCATTTGATTAGAAAATAGTTTTTGTTGAGGCCCTTGCCCAACAAACCAACCAAGGGCCAAGTTTATGCAAAAATAAATAAATCCAACAACATTGTCTTATTTGAAACTCTTACTACCGTTGCTAAGCCTCAAATCATACCACCAAGATGCATGTTGGAAAAAGAAAGACCACTTCAACCACTTATTCAAACACAAAGCTCATAAGTTGACATTTAAAAAAAAACAAACGGTTAATCTACATTAACACATAAGAATTGGAACTCGGGGCAAATCAAGGGTAGAACAAGTACAAAATGATATTGCCCACTAGGGTTCCAATTATACACAAACTAACGACTTATTACAACCCTAAAATTATCAAAGGACTTGTGGCATTGGTTAAGGATACCCAACATACTTTGGGTCATTTGGTCCGGGAGGTTCAGGCTTTGGGATGTAAGGCATAAGAGGAGTGCCATGTTCGATTGGGCCAGGCCTTAATGCTGTGGCTTTTGAACTTGGAACCGGATCATTAGGGACGTAATCGTAAATATCTACGTTTCCATCACCACTTTCATCATGAATATTATCCTCCTGTTGGTTACAATAGTGAAATTAAGAAATTAAAAACTAAATTTATCTAACACAAATTTTCAAAAACACGGTCCTTGTGGTTTACAAAAAGTCTCACTTTCAGGACAACTATCGGCAATGTTACACCGCTAGTCCTTATGGTTTCATTTCATTGCGGTTTTGGTCCATATGATCTTAATTTATTTTATATTTGATCTAAAATTACCATTTTGTTTTGCCCCAACTTTTATTATTTTGGTCTTCTAATAAAAAGGGAGGATGGAATTGAATTCCTTCCACCGTCCCCTAGGAACGGTAAAAATCCATCAAATATGGAATTTGAAGGATTTCGGTGGAATTGAATTCCGCCCATTTGGCAACCAAACACTCCGTGGAATGGAATCTTGAATTCAAGTTCCGCAGGGATCGGAAAACCAAACACGTGTCATTATTTGATATATTTGAAAGATCATGTATACCTTAAGTTTCCTGCCTGGCTTTGTTAAATCCATGATTTTCTTATGCTCGGGAAGATCACCGCCTGATAAATAGAAAATAATCACTAAATTGGAATAATGGGCGTAAGCTATCGGCAATTATTGCACATTTTTTTACAACTAGCATTAAAGTTTTGCATGATATAATTTTACATGATTAGTGTGCTTTAAGATATTTAGATGGGCCATGGGCCCAGTTTTTTGTTTGCTATTTGTGTATTATACAGGACATAACATAACAAAACAGGTCGTATAAGGTTTGGTGTTTTGGGACAACAACTGCAATTTTTTGTCCCACTTAAAAAGGTGGAACAAGGTGAGATAGGAACTAGATCTCGATCTATCATCTACGCAAAAGACGTAAATGCCCTCCTCATCCTTATCCTCGTCATCGAAAATAGCCCTGTAAAGCTTGTCCAATCTCGTCCTTTCCCATATAAGATAAACTAATTTGTTTCAAGATGAAAGTCCATAACAATCTTTACATGGTATTGAACCTTTTTTCAGTTTACTCATACGGGCATGTTATTAGTACAAATCTGACCTCAATTAGAGGTTCACATCATCTTTTTAACATTTAAAGGTAAAACTCATTTAGCTATCGAATAAGGTAAATGCAAGAAATATCAACGTACTTTCAATAATTTGTTAATTATAATATCCTATTTTCATTTCTTCCTACTATAACATTGTACTTCTATGTATTTTCCCAATTATAGCAACTGTCATTCAAATACAAAGCAATATTTATGATTATAATTGCATATATCTTCCAAACTCCAAAGTATAATGTTAAAGAAAAAGAAAACTAAAAATACAGATATGGATTTTTTTTGAAGATACAATATGTAATTTACATATTGAAAGAAATGAAAGTATGATGTTATAATACATAAATAAATGAAAGTAGGTTGCTATTTCTTGCATTTAGGCATTTTGTCCATATGATGCAGCTGAGACCTTTCTACTCTGAAAAAGACTCGTTGACCAAATTGCAAAATGAAAATGCTAAACAAAGGCACATGCATTTCTATATAGGATGACAAATTTCTCATCACATCAGCAAAATCTAACAAAAAGTACAACTTTAAACGCATAAGATACAAGTTTTTGCATTATGGTTGCGAGTACTCAGTATCGTAGAAGACAAATGTTGAAAAAATTACCAGGAATTTCGGACAAGAAGACGAAAAGCAACGCTGTTCCAAACACCAAGAACAAAATCCACAATCCAGAACCTTTCATGATGTCAGAAAAAGGGACACCCTGTTCTTATATTTCCTGATGAAATCAAATCAAACCCTAAAATTTTAAACCCAAATCGAAGATGATCGTATGCTCTTCACACACCCACTTCAATAAACTTGTCAATTCATGGAGTAAATGTTGATTAGAAGAAGAAACCCCATTTATAATGGAACGAAAACGCAAAAATTTCAGAAAAGATTTGAGAGGATAGGGAAAGGGGAATGGATGTTAAATCACAGCCATGCCATGATGATTTAAAAATGGGGAGAAAGAGGTGGGTAATGAAGGAGGTCATGTGGGGTTGCTGGTGCTCCATTGATAAAGAAAGGAGGTATTTAATGGTAGGGGATTTGAATGTGGTTTGTCTTTGTGTTGCAGAAGCAGTGGGCAGTGTAATGGTAGGAATCGTATTGAATGCGAAGTGTTGCAGAGAGGTGAGTGATGGAAATGCGAGCCTTCACTCCATCTGAACTTGTGCAGAGGGTTTTGAACACTTGGCCTAGGAGCACGATGCACTTTCTACTCCGTTTCTTGAATTTTAAAATAGAAACTTATGGCAAAATTATGGAGAAAATGACAACTACTTCTATTGTTTTTATTTTTTTAAATTTGGCGAAAAATTTAAAGATTTTATTTTAATTTATTTTTATTTTTTATATACTGATGATCATTTATTTTACACAAAATTATATAAATTGGTTCCTATGATTTCATAAACTCACTCATTGTTATTTTTTTTTATGAACATGTGGTTTCAAAAACATGTGTGAATGATTATTTTTAGTTTTCGTCTGTTAGTGTGAGGATAATTTAGTCTTTTTAGTTAGTAGAAACTGAGTTTGTGAATATGGATAAACGATAGAAACCATTTATTTTATGTTTATAAGTTTGTTGTTTTTTTATCTTTTACTTTTTAAAATGTCACTTTGATCCTTTTCATTTTGAACTTTGTAAAATATTATTTTCACCTCTCCATTTATTAAACTTCTATGTTTATCCTATGTAGTATATATATAATTTGGTTTTCCTTAATAATTTCCGTTCGTTGACTAAAAAAAACTAACTTTTTACGTGCTTATTTTTATATATGTGTTGATATAAATTTAATGTGGGCAATGTTTCAACGTGAATTTAAAACTTCCGTTCGTTATTATTATTTAAAAAAAATTACTTGTTTTTTTTATGTATATGTTGGTTTAAACTTGAGTTTGCCTACCTTTAGATGTAATTTTTTTTTACGTTTTTGTGTTTAATTTTATATACGTTTCCTATGTATGAGTCGGATCGCATATAATAATTTTCGTTCGTTAACGTAGACCCGACTTATATGTAGGAAACGTACAAAAATTTAAGCACGAAAATGTAAAAAAAAATTATTTCGAAACGTAGACAAACTCAAATTTAAACCAACACATCCATAAAGAAACAAGTATTTTTCTTTAAACAAGATAACGTACGACAATCTAAATTCACATCGAAACGTTAACAACCTTGAATTTATACTGACACATATATAAAAATAAGCACATAAAAATAGTTTTTTTTAGGTTAACGAACTAGAGCTATTAAGGAAAATCAAATTATATATATTCTATGAGGGATAAACATGAAAGTTTAATAAATGGAAGGGTGAAAATGACATTTTACAAAGTTTAAAGTGAAATAAAGCAACATTTTAAAAAGTAAAGGTAGTCACAAACTCATAAACATAAAAATAATGACAAAATTACATAAATGATCCCTATAGTTTACCCATACTCACAAAGTCAGTCTTTATTATCTGAAAAAGACCAAATTACCCTCAGACTAACAGACTAACGGACAGAAACTAACGATGTTAGCAAAAAATGATCATTAATGCAAGTTTTGAAAACCACATGAACTATATTCGTAAAAAAAATTGATAAGACTTGAGTTTGTGAGCTTTAATATACCATATGGATCATTTATATAATTTTGTCTTTATTTTACAAAATGCTCATCTAGCAAATTGTTAGGTGTTGCCTTTTAATGATCAGCTTTACGAACATAATCATTTATTTTACGAATTGCTTTGCTGTAAAATACCAAACAACATCATTATTGGTATGCAGAAACAATCTGGACCACTCTTGGATGATCTCGATTCAATATTTTTTTTTTCGTTTTCTTTACAAACCATTTTTTGTTCGGTCTTTTTGGGACCGATCTACTCTCACGGTATTTACGTGTGCCATTTTCGGTTTTTATTTTTTTTTGGGGGGGGGGGGGGGGTATGTTCGGTTTTTGTATTTTTTCAGTTTCGAGTTTTTTCGTTAACAAATATGTAACTAACATTAAAATGGCTAATTAAGATTTACTTAAAATGATACACAAAAATTTAATAAAATAAATAAGGGAGAAATAACATAATATATGATTAACAAATGTGTAATTAACATAAAAGATAATATGTATATAAACTTTCGCTTACGGTCTTTCTGAAACTGGTCGTACCGGTCTTGAGTTGGGTCGTTCTCGAAACAGTTTTCTATTTTTTGGTACTGGTCTCGCAACGGTCCAGTCTATTTTGGGATCAGTCTTGTTTCGAACCAGTTCGGTCTCGACTTTTTTCGGAACAGATATGATACTTGTCTTTTTATGCTTTTTTATGGCAATCAATATCAATATTCAAATTGGTTCGAACCGAATTGGTCTTTTGTTACTGAGTTGACCAGGCTATCGACCAATGACCTTTTTGGGTCTAGTATGTGTTAGATCATCTATAATCCAATGTCAAATCACTAATAAGGTTTAGATCGAATCACTGACGGTAAATCAAACTAAAAGCAAGTCTGGACCACATCCTAAGTGAGACCATGCTTTCTTGGGTCGGTCTCAAAACGGTCCGGTCTTTTTGAGGTCGATCTCGGAAAGGTGAGGCGTTTTTTGGGACCGGTCTCGTTCGGTCTTTTTTGGGACCGATCTTTTTCGGTCCGGTCTTTTTTTGGTCTCGTCTCTCGGTCTTTCCGTATGCCTTTTTCCGTTCGATTTACGAGTTTTTTTTGTTCGGTTTTGGTATTTTTTTTGTTTTGGTTTCGAGTTTTTTCCATTAACAAATATGAGATTATCACCAAAATGATAAATTAAGATTTATTAAAAATGATAATTTAAATTTAATAAAAAGAAAAAAATGTAATAAATTAGATAGTTTGTGATTAAAAATTGTATAATTAACACAAAATTTATATATTTATAAAGTTTGGTTACCGGTCTTTTTTTTTCTGGACGAGTCTCGTTCGGTCTCAGACCGTTCCGGTTTTTTTTATGACCGGTCCGGGATGGTCTCGGGCCGGTCTTTTTTCGGTTCGGTCTCGTTTTAGACCGATTCGGTCTCGGGTTTTTTTTGGGTCCGGTCTTAAACCGGTCTTTTGTGGTCTTTTTGTGCAGGTCTACATACCATATCATTTTCTTAACATATCTCACGTCTTAATCTCTCATACAGACATACACTTGTTATACACATTAAATATGAGCATTCAATAGGCTACGAGTTTGGACCATTTTCATCAACTCCAAGACTATTACTTGTCTTTTACGCTCTCAATGCAAAATAATTCAAAAGGTTTATTTTGTTTTGAAAATGATATTAGATTCATTTCCTAAATTTAACACAAAATTATGTCGATATGAACTTGAGAACCACCATAACACCATTATGCAAAATTTGGTATCATTGGTAATTATTGTACTGGATTTTGACTTAAAAACAATGAGTTTTTGACTAAATAAGTGTTTTTTTTAATTTTATTTACCGAATAGGTTTAGTTTGGAAATGTTATATTTTTTTCTAAAACTTTCAGCTTTTATTCTATTTTTAATATATTTTAAAGCCTTTTTATACCCTTTTCTATTAATGTAGCTTGTATAATGACTAAATTGCAAGTGTTCTTTTTACTAGCTTGTATAATGACTTTTTTTTTTATATATTTTCACATAACAAGTGTTATATGTCATCGAATCAATTCTAGTTCTCAAAATTAGTTGAACACAATTCACAAGCATAGTACCTAAGGTCCTTCAAAAATTTGTAACTCCATCTTTCTACTTCCAACCGTGATATTTTTACAACACCTTCCACAGCAAAAACTTTAGAACCATTTTCAAGTATGACATTTTCATATCCAATGTTCTCTTTAGAACCATTGTCATTACAGATTAAAGAATGACCAAGAGATTTGAGTGCAAATGAAAGGAACAAACAAAACAAAGTATTAACCATTTTCCAATAAATCACAGTGTATAGAATAAGAATTGGAGAAGAAAAATGGAGGCTATGATAGCATCAACAAGTTCATGTGATAATGGCTGAAACAAGCAAGGCAATAGTAGTGATGATTTGACAATGGAGAGAGCTCTTTTCAATCATATAAATTTTATTTTTGAAATTCAAAAGAAGATTTCACTGAGGCATTTCATCAAACGCTTCATGTACATCAGTGTAAAATTACAAAAATGTTGAAAACATGAATCGTGTGCAGATAAAATTAATGGAGTTGGAACTTTATAAAGACAAAAAAAAATTGAATAAAAGCCACAACAATTACTTATAAACGGGATGAGGTTTTCAGCGTTTCCATGAACAACATTATTTTACAACCCTTCTCTAAAAATGAACTTCACCCAGAACCTGTACAATTCCATGATTTTTATAATTGCAATTGGCAATGGATAATCACTGTAAATCGAGGTTTGAAAAGATGGAGGTATAGCCAGAAGTCTCGTCCGGAGATGAAGTCGTCTTGAAGTTATCCACCTAAACGACATTTGAGCTAAATTGCAAAATCCTCCCTTTTTGGTAAATATGTTTCAAATTATACCTATTTGGTAAATATTTTTTAAAAATACACCATTTTGGTCAAAAACTCGAAAAACTATTTTATATTTCAAAACTTTATCTCGATCCGAATAATGTCTATCACTTTAAAGTGGTGTTTTATTTAGAAGTTTTTATTATCATGATTTTTGTTTGAGATGCAACAGAAAAGTAATTGTTTTTTAATATAGGAGAATTACATATATGTTTTTCTTAAACATCAAAATATTATATTTTGTCCAGACGAATTTTTAAATATCATATTTACCTTTCATAAACTTTTAAAATATCATATATGTCTTTTTTAAGCATCAAAATATCATATATACACTTCTTATATATATATATATATATATATATATATATATATATATATATATGTTAATACTTAATACTCTGTATAAAATTAATATTACACTAAATTAAGATAGTGTTGTCGAAACAGAGTTGGTATTGAAAGTTGATTATAAGCATTGTCGGCTTGCTTTGTGATGAAATAAGACTTAAAAGAGATACTTAGTTAAATTAAGTTTGAATATTAGGTAGATGCTTATTAAGGGTACGTGTGTGATCGAAATAGAGAGTAGAAACTCTTTTCGAGGAGATTGATGATCGGCGGAGTACGTCCTACGTACAAGAGTACTTTCTAAGTACCAAGTCTTTTT